CTGCGGGGAAGGAGCCGAGCCGCATCCAGTCCCGCCGAGCCGCGGCTCCTGGGGACATCGCGGCAGCCTGGGGACCGGAGCATCCCTCGCCGTCCGGCCACCGCTCCTGAGGGCCGGCCTGAGCGCCCCCCGTCCCTCCTGCTCGCAGCTGCAACCGTTTCCCCAAGAATTTGCTGACGGGTTTGTTCTTGGGAGGAATTTACTCTGGAAAAGTCTGGAGAAACCTGAGCCTGGCTGCTTCCCAGCGCGGGTCCTGCCTGGCAGGCAGGCGGGAGGGTCCTGCCTGCTGCCCGTCCCTTGTCCCCACGGTGGACCCCCGGGACATGGCTGGGACCCCCGAGATCTGTGTGGCCTTGGGGTGGGCTGGCTGGATCCTCACTGTGTCAGGCTGCTCCGAACAGCAGGAAACAGAGACGAGCCGAGGTTTGAGCTGAAATCAGGGAGATTTGGTTTATTATCAGAACGAGACCCCTGCGGCCCCAGGCAGTGTGCCGGCAGCACCCCTTGCCCCAGCATCTCCCAGTGACATTTGCTTCTGCCGTGACATAACCGGTAACTGCCATCCCCGCCAGCCCCAACGCCGCTCGCCAACCCTCCCTGACATGACGTGCGGTGAGTCACTTGGCTCAGGGCTTTTTTTCCAGGGTGGGTTTTTTTCCTTGGCCTCGACTGCTGGAAGCCCCAGATCCCCATGGGGTGGTCCAAGAGATCAGCCTGGGGCCGGGGAGGGGTCAGTGGGGCCAGGAGCAGTGGGGCAACCCGGACCGGCTGTGACAGCTCTGCTGTTGGGGCATATCCTGATGACAGAGCTCTGGAGGGATGCCATGGCTGTGGGTCTGCTGGGAGCATTCACAGACTCCTGGGTTCAATGGGACCATCAGAGGTGGGGGAAATGGTGATGGGGAGCAACCCACCAGGGAGGGAGGAAGGGGCTTTGGTGCTTCAGGCTTGCTGCACTTTCAAAGCCCAATTTTAGGAGCTTTACTGGGCTCAGGGCAAGTGAGGAGAAAGGAAGGATAACTGGCCAGCATGGGTGGGGAGCTGGGAATGTGATTTACCCCGGTGCCAGGCCATGCAGGGCTGTGACCACCCTTCCGGGCGGGCCCCCCCCCCCCCCCCCCCCCCCCCCCCCCAGATCTGCTCCCAACAACCAGAGCCACAAGCCTCGGGTGCAGCCAGAGGCCGTGCTGATTGAATCGAGGTGTGATTGAGCACAGGTCCTTATTAAGCACAGGTTAGATCTTCCACCTCTCATTCATAGCTGCTACTATTTATTAGCACATTCAATAGTCTCATTAAGCAGGAGGTTTAATTACCTGCCAGCTTTGAGCTCCATCTTGTTTAGCTGCACTGAGCTGCGCTGGCCATGGTTTCCAGGTGCTGGGTTGTGTTGCACCACGGCTGGAGCTTTCCCCGCTCAGATCTGTGGCTGGATTTCACCTCTGGCCAGGGGATCTCCATCTGGAGATGTGGCCTCTCCCCATCTTGCAAGTGGCAGATGCTGCAGTGATGCTCAGATGAATCTGGCCACCCAGAGGCCATGGTAACCCCGTGGGGACAGGGACACGCCAGGCACCTGGGCCATGGCACACGGGAGTAGGAGCCACGGCTGGATCCCTTGTGTGGGGGGAAGGACAGCAGCATCGGGGCCTGTCCCCCCTCGGCCCCTGCCAAGGGCAAGAGAAGCAAACAACCGGGGACCATCGCTGGCCCCCCTTTTCAGCAGTGCCTGGGATTTAAGCGCTGGCTCTGTTTCTGTGCCAGCCAGGAGCCGTGTGGGCTGAAGGTGGCCTCTGGGGCCAGGCTCACCCCACTGCTTTGCCCCCTGCGTGGCATAGGGGCAGGCGAGGGTGCGCTTGGCACAGGGATGCCCGAACGCACAGGCGATGCCTCATCCCAAGGCGGGGAATCAGGGCATGGGGGGCAGCCCAGGGGGCTCAGCACCCCTGGCTGGGCCACCTACACCCTGTTCCCCTCTCTGCTCAGGCTGTGAACCAGCTCTGGGGGTGCACGTAGGAAAACCTCAGCTCCCCCCAACTTTTTTCCTGCTCCCAAAGCAGCTGCAGCCCCAGCTGCTCAGTGACTCGTGGATGCGGGGCCCAAAAACCTGCGGCATGCAGGGACTGGGCTCAATGGGCTGGGCGAGGGGAGCCGGGGAGGGAGGCAGCCCTGAGCCAAGGGGCTGGGGGCCATGGAGGGGGAGCGGGAGGCGAGGCCGAAGGCAGAGCCAGCAGGAAACCCCCCTCTGCAGCGGGGGGCTGGAGGGGAGGTTTGGCCGGCAAAGGCGGATTTAGGGGGGCCAAAGCCTGGCGCATTTTCCATCGTTAGCCACGGCTGGATTCGCAACGTGACCGAGCAAAAGCCCCGGAGCCCGGAACGAATTTGCAGGAGGGTGTTGGAAAGCAGAAGCAGATTTTTGCAGTGTGGTGAAGGAAACCAGATCCTTCGAGGGGTCCTGCAATGCTTTGCTTTGACTGAGCTTCACCGGGGAAGCAAATCCCACAAATTCCTCGCCTGGAGGAGGGGAGCGGGCTGTGGGATCCCCCCGGCACAGCAGCAGGAGCAAGACACAAATGCACAGCATGTTTGTGCTGCAAAGGCATGCTGGGTCCCCTGCTCCTCGGAGCCAGGGAAACTGAGGCAGGGAGCAGTGAGGCAGCTTGCTGGGGGGCTCAGGAGCCCCAGCCCTGTGCACATGAGTTTTGCACTACTGTGGTGTGGAGCAGCCCTACCACTGCTCCCAACAACTCTGCTCCAGCCAAGGTAATGCCATTGCTTGCACCCCAATATCCCCTTCGTACCTGGCTCTTGAGGTGGGGTGAGTGCAGACATCCCCCAGGAATTATCCCCCCGTTTAATTACAGCAGCTGCTCAGTGTTTCGGCCTGTGTTTCCCACCCAAATTACAGGTTGAGAGATGCTTTTGCCCACTTCCCCAGCCATGGCCACCCCTGGCTTTTTCCCCCTCCCATTCACTTGTCCCCACGGGGCCCTGCAAAGTTGGTCCCTGCCCCCCACCCCAGTCCCCTCCTGCCCCATGGATGGAGCTGAGCATCAGCCCAGGCCCCGACACGACACACGGCTTGGGGTGACCCCAGTGTCGGGGTCCGCGGGGAGGTGCTGGTGCCGGGGGGCCGGAGCGGCAGAGCCCCGGGGCCGGGGTGCAGTGGGTGGCGGACCCCGGCAGGGAAGGGGTGCCGGCCAGCCCGGGTCCCGGTCCAGGGATGGGCCGTGGGCCCGGAGAGGGGCGGGGGGACTCACGTTTCTCTGACATCAAGGCGGGTGCCGGAGCAGCCGGGGG